TTCTCTTGGGTGGAAAATTTTTATTTATTTATTTATTTATTTATTTATTTGAGACAGTCTGGCTCTGTTGCCCAGACTGGAGTGCAGTGGCGCGATCTCGGCTCACAGCATCCTCTACCTCCCAGGTTCAAGTGATTCTCTTGCCTCAGCCTCCCAAGTGGCTGGGATTACAGGCACATGCCACCATGCTCAGCTGATTTTGTATTTTTGGTAGAGATGGGCTTTCACCATGTTGGCCAGGCTGGTCTTCAATTCCAGACCTCAAGTGGTCTACCCACCTTAGCCTCCCAAAGCGCTGGGATTACAGGCATGAGCCACTGCGCCGAGCTCTCGCGTGGAAAATTGTTTCATTTAGCTCAAGCCAGGCTTTTAGTACCAATGACTTTGAAGAGCTCTGTATTTAGTTTAGACCAAGCTGAGTATTTCTAACAGGTTGCCTACAATTTTATCAATAGGTCATGATATTTCTTATGATAACTTCTCTTTTGATGATTTAGTAACTAAATGCCGACCCTTGTTGGATTATAAACTCTTCAAGGGCAAAAACTATATTCATCATTTTAGTATATATTACTCTGGCATATCATATGCAAGAAAATGCTGCTAAAATGATAATACAAATGTCTGCCAAGTGAACTTCAAAGACACATCCCAATAGAACACGCTGCAGTGACAGAACCCAGAGATGACAAAGACATGAATAATGTTACAAACAATCGTTTCTTAAGCAAGGGTCTAACCACAGCATCCTTCCCCCTTGGTGGGAGTCATCAACAATGACTTGTCATTATTCATAAGAGTTACAAAGCCATTTCTGGCTCTTCCTGGCTGTGATCATTGGGGAAAGGTAGAGGAAAAAGGGAATGGGGAGGTCCGGGAGGGAGGGGCTCTCTGAACTCCTTCCAGGAAGAAAAGAACCATTTGTTTTACCAGTTCTGGGATAGCTTTCAAAAAGACAGCCACATCCTTTCAGATTTGATTAATTTGGCCAACCAACTAAATTAAAATGTCCTTCATAAGAAATGGGTGAAGGAATGTATAGAGGAGGTTTCCAATATGCTCAATTTCAAACAAAACATACTAAACATATATATATATATTTTTCTTTTTTTTTGAGACAGGATGTCTGTCTGTTGTCCAGGCCGGAGTGCAGTGGCATGATCATGGCTCACTGCAGCCTTGACTTTCTAGGCTCAAGCAATCCTCCCACCTCAGCCTCCCTAAGTTGCTGGAACTATAGGCACATGCCACCAGGCCTAGCTAATTTTTGTATGCTTTTGTAGAAGAGGAGTCTCATCATGTTCCCCAGGCTGGTCTCGAACTCCTGGACTCAAGTGATCCACCTGCCTCGGCCCCCCAAAGTGCTGGGATTACAGGTGTGGCCACAGCGCCCAGCCTAGAGATTTTTTTTAAAAAATTTATTTTCAGGGATCAATTAACCCAAAATAGGCTGTGAAAAGCAGAATGACTATCTTTTTCTGTCTTAGCCATTTTCGATCTCCATTTCCCTTATTGCAAATAAAATTTTAGTCTAAATAAATCATGTTTTGTGAGTAAACTAGAAGAAGATAGAATCATCATATTTATATTTCGTTTTCTTTTTTTTTCTCTTAATAGCGCCTGTCACTGCGACTTTTCTCATCCCTTGATCACCTCACCTGGGGAATATATAAGACTGTGGCCTTCCTGATGGTCTCCATTCAAATCCAATTGCCTACGTTGCTAGAAGTCTTTCTGGAGTGCCTCTTGCCACATCAGTGCAGACTCATGATCATGATGAGGCCAGTTCCTTATTACTCACCACATCAAATCTTTTCTGGGTAGAGACAGGGTCTCACTATGTTGCTCAGGCTAGTCTCAAACTCCTGGACTCAAGCTATTCTTCTGCCTTGGCCTCCCAAAATGCTGGAATTACAGGCATGAGCCACCGTGCCCAGCCACCACATCAAGTCATAAGCCAAATCCTGCATTTCTTTGGTCATGATGTATGCATAGCAGTTATATAATTAAGCTTAAAATTAATCTACATAGTAACAGCAATATTAAGGACAATCTTTTCCTTGTAACTTGATTTACTGGAACACAAATCTTTATCCATTAGCCCAAAAAATATCCATTTCTGTATAGTACCTAGGTTACTCACTTAAATCCAAGATCTGAGCCAAAATATAAGTACAATTAATCACATTGTGTTATAGCTGGTTATAGGAAACTGGTTCCCAGACAAATTCCCATACACGATCTGCTTAAGTGAGGATAACAGATTGACTCAGGAATCAAAAGCAATCCATTTTTTAAAAAAGAAAAAAATGAAAGAGATGTCTCATTCTAGCTGCCAGACTATGATTTCCTTGAAATAAAAGATTATTTGATTCATCTTTACATCCCGCAAGAATAACATAGTGTCTGAGACGTGCTAGGCATTACATAAATATTGATTAAATGAATAAATGTAGACATTGTTAAGCTGAAGATTAAGTATGTCTCACTTCATAATTTATGAGATATGTTTTAATTATCATTTGTGTTTTAGAAACCTCTGCATATATATTTCATCTTTATATTGATTTATCATGTCACATCATTTAAGCTTATGCTAACATTTAGTGCTCACTCACTTTTGTCTCCTTGTTTGATCATATTTTTCCCAGGTGTATTAGAGTTTGGGCCACCTGGTGGAAAAGAACAGAGATCACTGAAGTCCCCACAAGGGGCAGGGCCCTTACTTAAAGAATATACACCTGTGGTAACTCAGAAAAGCTGGACCATAAGACTTCAGAAAAACCAGAGACAACTTTTGATTTTCACTCTGGTGTTCTGCCATGAACATAACCTTCTGTCTATAAAGGGTGTCGCCTTTATAGGCCACTCCTCCTGCATGCTCTGTGGTCTGCACCCGGTGCCACCTGGCTGACTCTCTCCCTTTCCCATGCAGACTCTTTATCACATAGCTTCCACTTCCTCACGGGATTCTTTACTCAAAATTTGGCTTGCCATGACTCTCCATGACTTTTTTCTTCTAAGAGACAAGGTCTTGCTCCATCCCTCAGGCTGGAGTGCAGTGGCATGGCTCACTGCAGCCTCGACCTCCCAGGCTCAAGCGATCCTCCTACCTTAGCCTCCCAAGTAGCTGGGACTGCAGGTGTGTGCCACCACACCAGGCTAATAATTTTTTAACTTTTTGTGGAGATGGGGGTTTCGTTATGTTGCCCTGTCTGGTCTTGAACTCACGGACTCAAAAGACCCTCCTGCAAGGCTGGCTGCGGTGGCTCACACCTTTAATCCTAGCACTTTGGGAGGCTGAAGTGGGTGGATTGCCTAAGGTCAGGAGTTTGAGACCAGCCTGGCCAACATGGTGAAACCCTGTCTCTACTAAAAATACAAAAATTAGCTGGGCATGGTGGCACATGCCTATAATCCCAGCCATTTGGGAGGCTGAGGCAGGATAATCGCTTGTACCCTGGGGTCAGAGGTTGCAGTGAGCCAAGATCATGCTACTTCACTCCACCTTGGGCAAACAGCAAAACTCCATCTAAAAAAAAAAAAAAAAAAAAAAAAACATCCTCTTGCCTTGGTCTCCCAAAGCTCTGGGATTACAGAGCTGGGTGTGTGCCACTGTATCCAGCCCTCTATGACTTTAATTCTCATACATGGTAATCTTTCAGCTCCTGCTCCACTGCGAAGTGATACTGTGAATTCTCCATTCAAATTCCTAAGTCAAAGTGCTCAACCAAATACATTTTGGCTGCTTGTTTGTGGGGTGAGGGTGCTGTCCATGTAGTTTGTATATACAGAGCTGCCATTTGGCAGTGACTCTGAGTTGGGCGGCTTCATGTAGTAGAAGGCTGTAGGCTAGCAAGTACATGATTGACGTTTCCAATAAGATTGGCCTACTCATCCACTTCTTAACGTTGCTTATTCTGGTTTCACTCTTTGATTCTAAGTTTACTTTATCATGAAGTTGTCTGAGATCACCACTTTTGCCCAAAGTCTGTAACGGTTCTAATCTTTTATATCATGTGAAACAGAAAATGTTGCATGGTACAGAGATGTTCTATGTTTATTGATTAGTTATTATTTGAGAGTACTATAAAATATATATTAATACTTTGACTTGTTGAAATGTATGAAAGATAGAAAAGGAATAAAGAAAAGTTAAACCAGAATTTCCTCATTAAATCTGAACAAAGTTTCATCACTCTCGTGGCAATTAAGTTAGTATTTTGAAACCAGAGAAATTGGTTCAAATTTCGAATAACAACTGATAGTAAAGTCCTACTTCAAAATTTAAAATCTTGAGCTTCTCTGGTCTGCATGGTAATTTAGAAACCATTAATAGAGCACTGATTGTATTATTCTATGCAGTTTACAAAAAGTAGAGCCATTATTTAACAAGAAGAAATTTTTAAAACCATGATGAGTTGCATGGGAGAATAAAATCCAATTTTATTTTCTTCACGAGCAACTCATTTAATTTGAAACCTTCTCTTTTTTTAGAAAAATAAATGTTATTTTTCTTTTTTAAAATCTTCAACTTTTAGTTTATTTTCAGGGGTACATATGCAGGACGTGCAGGTTGGTTACATAGGTAAACGTGTGCCATGGTGGTTTGCTGACCAGATCATCCCTTCGCCTAGGTATTAAGCCCAGCATCCACTAGCTATTCCTCCTGATGCTTAATATGAGACTAATTTTCTGTGCATACTCTTCTATCAGCTCCTAGAAGCTGATATTCAAAACCACGTGTGTATGTAGTCTCCTGCATCTATTCCCTTATTATGAAGCTAACCTTCCACCTTCATGAAGAAGTTTGGCATTAACAGGATAAAGTTGGGAAATGAGTTCGGAAAGCTGGTATTTAGATGGCACATTGGTACTTAAATCTGACCTATCAGAGGCCTGGCAGAAAACTAAAGTCTATAGCCGGAAATCAAACCACAGGGGAAACTGTAAGAACTCTGAGCTGCTGCCATTTTCTCCCTTTTCTCCATTTTCTCCAGATAGCTATGGAGCACAGCTGTCAGAGTGAAATCCTGGCTGACTGACTGACTGCATAAAATGCCATGAGAAACACCTGTCTCATCAAGGACATTAAAAAGGTAAACACGGAACATCCAATCAAGTCAGAAAAAGCCAGCTTTCATCTCCTTTTTTATGGAGTAGAGTCCAAATCAGTGTCTTTTAAAAGAGTATCCTTCAATCTGATTGTAGTGTCAATCATGGCTCAAAAGTTAAGTTCGTTGGAAAAAAAATAAAACCGTGCAATAAGAAGTCATACAAATTAAAAAAAAAAAAGAAAAATCAGAAAAGGACCCTCCAGCCCTGATGGTTTTTCCCTTTGAAGTGGGGATTCATTTTGAAATTTTAAGTGTTTTTTGGTCTGCAGAAATAAGAATCCTATAATTTTTAAATGGTTATAAGCATGTTGCAATTATAGTTCAGAAATGAAAATTCTATGAAATTGGTGCTTTGAGGAGGATTGACTGAAGGTTATTTAAAATAATACATTTTTGAAGCCATAAGACTAAATTAAGTGAAGGTCTGGACTATATGAGAAAAAAAAATTGTGGATTTCTCTTTTAAAATATTTACAACCTTGAAGGAAGAGAGGTCGTGACATAGAGAAGTTCTGACCCTCTCTTCACCCATCTTTAATCAAACAAAAATTCATAGGCAAACCTTGCTTAGAGCGCTTACACACAGTGACAAATTCTAGGGTCTTTCTGAGCTGCTGCCATATTCAGATTTGAGAAGTAGGCGTTCAAGAGTAAGTTGAGGAGCCTTCTTGCACAACCTTAAGTCACTTTTTAAGATATTTTCAGTGTTCTTTCAGATAAAAATGGGTGCTGACGGGTGCCGATAGTTACTCACAGTGTGAACAATTTGCAAAATACTTTTCTTATTCCTTTCCACTGAAGGTGCCTTATCTCTCCTCTTTTTTTTTTTTTTTCTGGACTGACATTTATTTTCATCAAAATAAGTAGTCAGGTTGATTTATTTCACCCGAATTAACCTTATATAAGGGAAGTTGCCAGTAGGCTTCACCATGTAGTCCATTGCGCACAGGACATCCGACTTCCTTCTGCAGCATCCATAATGATGTCAAAGTTAGAGGTTAGTAGGACCCCCAAGGAGTGGAACTTTCTGGAAAAGCAAAATCCAAATCGTATCTTTCCTTCTAGATATTCACCAGAACTGTGTCTGTTCAGACCTGTGGTTCCAACAAGAAGAAATTCCAACAAGAAGAAGAAATTCCAACAAGAAGAAGAAATAAATGGTATGAACTGGATCTAATAGTTAAAGTTGTACCTTGAAAGGAATTAAAGAGTATATGGTATTTCATTTTAGCTATTTTATAAATATGTTCTTCAAAGTGTTGCTCAGTCAATTCTGCAAGCTTCTACTATAATTCAGTATTATAATTCAATAAGTTGCCAACACTTACTGAATATCTGAGTAAAATCTTTATTGCCATGACTACTTAAATTAATTCAAATACTGAGTCCCTACTTTGCAAGTTTTTGCCAGGTACAAATCCTACTGGAAAGGCAATTCTGTCTTTTGAATTCTGGATGTTTCCTTATAAACTCCATCACTATTAGTCACCATTTCCATCATCTCCATTTATGTAATGAGGAACATCAGCATTGCTAAGCTTAAATATGTTAATTCTTCACTTTCTAAGCTTTCACCACTGGAGAGCATAGTTCATTTTTAAAAAACAGTATCATTAGGTTCTATGTATGTGCAAAAAAAATCTGTGGTTTTTATCTGCCCAGGATCCATTTCCCTCCTCTTTTTTTTCTTTCTGGAAAACAGCACTTGGATTTTCCTCAGGGAAATCCTCCTCATCCTCCACTGTCTGCAGGCTTGGTGAGAGAGCCAGTCAAGCAACCCTCCCCTCTCCTGGCCTGGGGAGATCAAGCCAGGTCACTCTGATCCCCTCTCCTAGGAACTTGAACCTTGAGACACTTGACACCAGTTGACTTGAGGTGAAGCTGACTCACCTCAAAAGATAGACTCCAAGCAGCCCAGCCACAGTTCCCAATACTGAAATTCTCAGCAGCCCTGATCCAAACTTCAGCTTTCCTTCCATAGCTCTGCTATTGGCCAGTAGCCCTCAAACGATAGTGATGCACAATGAAGTCACATGGAGAGATTATTAAACATTAAATTATCAGGATCCATCCCTGAGATTCAGAGTCTATGGGTCTAAGATGGTTCCCAGAGATCTGCATTTGTTTTTGGACAAACATCCCTGGGAATCCTAATGCTAATGACCCAAAGAACACATTAAGAAGCTGTATTAGTCCATTCTAATGCTGCTAAAAAAAAAGACATATCTGAAACTGGGTAATTTATAAAGAAAAGAGGTTTAATGGGCTTACAGTTCTTCATGGCTGGGGAGGCCTCACAATCAATGGCAGAAGGCAAAGGAAGAGCAAAGGGATGTCTTACATGGCGGCGGGCAAGAGAGCTTGTGCAGGGGAACTCCTCTTTATAAAACCATCAGATCTTGTAAGACTTGTTCACTATCACGAGAACAGCATGAGAAAAATCTGCCCCCATGATTCAGTTACCTCCCACAGGGTCCTCCCCATAACTCGTAGGGATTATTACACTTCAAGGTGAGATTTGGGTGGGAACACAGAGCCAAACTGTATCAGAAGCATTACTACAAACTTCCAATGAATTCCATCTTTTACATTAGAAAGAGGTGATTTCTGGTATGTACCACCAAATTATGTTATCCACCCTCTCTGAAGTTTTGGAGGGTAATTATGGATATAGAGGCATAGAACCTTGGAGGAGAGGAAGGGAGAGATTCCACATCTTCCAAGTAGATTCTTTTAGCTCACCATTCCTTGACATCTTGCCTTGTCTCCCTTAACTAGGAGCCTTGAAAATCATTAAGAAGCCTTTTTCCTATGAAAACTATGTCCCACTCCTCTTTGTAGAAAAAAGGTTGTGATCCACTCTTTTGAATAGCTATCACATTGTTTCATAATATCATATCTGCTCCAAAGAAAAAACTGACTCACCCAATAATGAAACTACCATAGAGAAGTCAATGGGACACTTTGGGGGAAGTTTCACAGACTCACTAGAAATATTACCAAAAAAAAAAAAGAAAAGAAAAAAGAAAGGAAGAAAGAAAAACATGGTAAGAGATGGAAATTGCAACAGAACCCTTGTCCATTCTCTTTTTATTCTGGTTTATTGTTTGGAAATCAGGGTAGGTTACATAAATTATATATTCCTTTGGTGATAGGGAGGAGAATGGTGACCTGCTCATCATAAAAGTGCAAGGAAGAAAAAATCCTCAATAAACAAAAAATAAAGCTACTTCTGATGATTCAAACAGAAGAGAATTGGCTGTTATCTCAATGTAATACCAAGGAAGAGAACACACACAGGAGTCTGGCTCAATGGGAAACAGATCTATTCAGCAGAAAGGTCAGCTGGCAATGAAAGCCTCTAAACCAACAATACAAAAGGCTGCTTCAGAGAACAGCTACCTGCCTGTGCTGCAACAGGGGGAAGGAAGGAGGAAGGACACATCTCCTAAAATAGGAGCTGCTTGTTTTATATACGGTAAAGATGTTAGGGAAGGTTTCCATACATATAGCCATTAAAGCCCTTAACTCAAGGCTTTAAATAATCTGGTGGTGTTTTTATTTTTAAATGGTTGTGCTTGAAGATAGGTTTTTGTTTTTAAATATGTTTTTGTTTTTAAACATATGTACCTACTTTTGTAACTGCTGTTTTAAAACGAAGTTAGTTTGTGGGCTTTAGTCAATGTCATGCTTTCAATGAGAACTCAGATCTCCTCTGCACTTCAGCAGGTCCTTGTTACGGGTAAATAAGCTGCCTCTTGCTTTAAATTCTTAAAGGAAATACAAGGAATATCATCTAAATCGGGAAAAGAGGCCAAAAGAGGAAATGACTACATAGTTTCAAACTCTAGCAACCAAATTTCTCTTCTACTTTATGCATATCAACCAAATTTCCTTCACTTTATGCATATTGATGAGACCAAGAAACATTTATACCATCACAAAGCTCTGTGTATGTGTGTTTATACAAACAAGTATATAGTGAATTTCACATATATCACATAAATCAGTGAAGTATCTGGGGGAAGCTTCATAGACTCACTGAGAGCATTACCTCTATCCCCCAAAATGACATACTATAATGACAAGTAGGCATAAAGGGGTAGTAATGAAAAAGTAAAAATTTGATATCTCCCCAGCATTATGTATATATGTCTTGAGGGTCTGTCATTGGCCAGGCATTCTTGCTGGGCAACAGAGATACAACAATCAAAAAGGGAATGAAAGAAACTTAGGTTCAAAGATGGGCAGACAACTAAAGGGATAATTAGGATAAGGTAGGGTAAGTGTTACAATAGGGGAAAAGCAAGGATACCTACCCAAGACCAGGGAACAGCCTCTGTGGAGGAGCACAGGCAAATGAAAGAGTGTTGTTTGTTGGGAAACTGTATGAAACTAAATGCCACTGGGACTTCAGAGGATGAAGGTGCTGTGAGTTGAGGCTAAGGAGACAAACGGTGGCTTGATCAAGAAGTGTCTCATAGCAACATTGCTCAGATTGCACTCATATTCTCAGAAAATGGGAACCAACTGGGGCTTTAAGCAGAGAAATACCATGGTTGCTCTTGAAAAAAAATCACAATGGCAGTTCCAATGTGGAGAATAGATTGTTGGAGGATGAAGATTAAGATGGGGTGACCAGTTAGGAGGTTGCTGATATGGTTTGACTTTGTCCCCACCCAAATCTCATCTGGAATTGTATTCCCCATAATCCCCACTTTCGAGGGAGGGACACAGTGGGAGGGGCCTGGATCGTGGGTGCAGTTTCCTCCATGTTGTTCTTGTGATAGTGAGTTTGTTATGAGAGCTGAAGGTTTTATAAGGGGTTCTTCCCTCTTTGCTCTCTTCTCTGTCCTGCCACCATGTGAAGAAGGTCCTTACTTCTCCTTCTGCCATAACTGTAAGTTTCCTGAGGTCTACCCAGTTCTGGGGAACAGTGAGTCAATTAAACATCTTTCCTTTATAAAGTATCCAGTCTTCAGTACTACTTTACAGCAGGATGAGAATGGACTACTGCAGTTACTGTGGTAACTTGGGAAGGAAATAACAGCCTGCACTAGGATTGAGATAGGTGGAATAGAAAGAAAAGATTCCAGAGCTCTCAAGGAAGTAGCAATGATTGAACATGAGTGAATGGATCAAAAAGTAAAGAAGAGGGACAGGGACTATGTTTCTGGCTTGCAGAGTATAACAATGTCATTTAATCTAACCGGTAAATGAGGAGTAGATGTAAGTAGTGGTGGGAGAGTGGAAGGGAGGAACAGAGAGAGGGAGGAACAGGACCGCAAGGATGGAGCTCAGTCTTGCATAACCATGTTTACAGTGCCTGGAGAGTTTCCAAATAGAGATGTCTGGAAACTTTTGAATATGGGTCTAAAACTTGGAAGAAAGATCTGGGCTGGGATTTGGTAGCCATCAGCATATGTGCAGAAAAGTTAACTTCAATTTCTCTAGCCATTTTTTCTAAGTCTATTTTTTTTTTTTTGCAGATTTTCTTTCTTTTGAGCATTCCTCAAATGTTATGTTGCCATTCACCAGCTTCTCTAGAGTTGAGGATGAACTCATGACCACTTGAAGGAATAGCAATATGGCAAGACATTGAATATGTCATATGTAGATGAGGACAAATAGGAAGAAAAAAATGGATACACGAGAATGTGGTATTACAGAAGTGAAGTGAAAAGTGTTTTAGACAGTGGGATGGGGCCATGTCCAAGAGATGTGACCATGTGACCATCATGAGTGGTGTGTATCTTTAGTGGAGGATGATAACTCAGTAGGCTAGCACAAATTAATGGAAATATCTCTTAAGATGATGTAAATTCACCTGCTTAGATCTCATATATTCCTTCTGACCTTCATTTACTTAGGAAATCTGCCAGCAACCAAGGCATTTCCACAGTGCAAATCAATTCAGTAGGACTTGATCACCCTTCATGAAACAGGTTCTTATCATGCAAAGCAAAGGACTTAACCCTAACCCACAGTTAAGCACCTCCACATATAACATCCCATGAAGTCCAGACCTAAAGAACCAGCCAGACCTTGCCCTTCTTTATTCAAAAATACTGTGAGTACACATGACAATTTGTCAATCAACAGACTCCTCAATTTATGAATTAATTTTGCTCAATGCATTTCAGGTTGAGTGTTTTCTAGTGAGCTAGGAGATAACATATAATTAAATTTTATAAGCCTTTCTAGAAAAAGGTGAAAGAGAAATTAATTTTAAGGCATTTGTCACATTAAATATGTATTATTAAATTAAAACATACTTATGACAACATATATAATGATGTAAAAGGTAAAATCCTGCCTGTTCCTCTATAATCTCATTTTCATGTATATATTGGTAAAGTCTTTTAGACCTCTACTCATGCAAACACCAATATAAATGCAAACACATGTAGAATAAATGCAATCATACTATCTACATTGCTCTATGTCTTAATTTTTATATAACATATTCTCAGAATATAAACCTCCTTCTACGTCAGTCTATACAAATCTAGCCTTTTCTCTTTAATGCCTATATGCTATTTCCTACTATAGGTGGTATACCATTTATTTATTCCTATTGTCAGATAATCCTGTTATGTCAAACACATTTTAATGTTCTAGAAACTCATATATTTCCACCACTAGACTTTTCTGAGAACAGAGATGAAAGGTTCAATTCCTCTCTACATTTCTAACTCTCAGAATAGCCTTGGGCAAAGAGCAGGGACTCAGTAATTGCTTCATGAATGAACAGTTAGATGATGACCATTACAGCCCTACATAACTCAATACGCTTTACAAGAGCTTTCTTTAAAACAATGAAGGCATCCTTCTAAAAGGGACTGCTCTTTTTCAGTGTTGGAGAAGTTGTGCTCAGATGCAGAGGGAGGTGGGAATAAATCACAATTAAAACACATTTACTTGAGTATTTACTATGTGCCAAGTGTTTTCATAGTTTAACACATTTAATAATCATAGAAAACTTAAGAGTAAGACTCTATTATTATCCTTGTTTCATAGAAAGGGAAGTTGAGGCACGGAGTGATGGAGTGACATGCAAGAGCTTCTCCAGTGTGCAAAGGCTGGGACCCTGCCCAGAAGTGTCATTCGCACATGAAGCTGCCTCTCCAATGGGAAGAAAAAGTGATCAGTGTTAACTGGGGACGTGCTGGGAGGTGCTAAGGCAACCAGAGGGGCCCATGCCCCTGAACATGCACCAACAAGCTCATTCTCTACACATGCCCAGAGGTTGCCAACCACCAACTTAATTTCATTTTCCCGCCTCTGTGCTCCTTAATGTTTATATGAGCACAGAGGCGGGAAAATGAAATTAAGTTGGTGGTTGGCAACCTTACTTTCTTTTTTATTTTATTTTATTATTTTATTTCTGAGATGGAGTCTCACTCTGTCACCCAGGCCAGAGTGTAGTGGTGTGATCTCGGCTCACTGCAACCTCCACCTCCTGGGTTCAAGTGATTCTCATGCCTCAGCCTCCTGAGTAACTGGGATTACAGGCGCCCCCCACCACACCTGGCTAATTTTTGTAGGTTTAGTAGAGATGGGTTTTCACCAAGTTGGCCAGGCTGGTCTTGAAATACTGACTTCAAGTGATCCACCCACCTTGGCTTCCCAAAGTGCTGGGATTACAGGAGTGAGCCATCGCACCCGGCCTCTTATTTTCTTTTAATAAAATGTCATTATGTAGTGAGGTTTATAATTAAAGCAAAATTTAAAGCTCTGAAAAAATTAAGGATTTTAACATGGCCAATATTAAAAGCTATTATTAACAAAAACACATGCAGTTCCAAATATGGAAAGTTAGCAATTTCTTCCAAAATATACATGTGAACTTGACATTCAAAGATACAGAGGTCTTAAAAGCCAAATATCACCCTTAAAGGACATCTTAAGACATATCTGGAAAAGCTCTGAGTGATTTAAGGAGACAGATATATACACACACACACACATATATATGTACACACACACACATATATACACACATAGTATATATACACACATACATACTCATGTGCCTTTAAAAATCATTTACTGTGAAAATATATTTCCCAAGGCATATATAAGTGTATAGCTCATACTTATTTTATTTATTTATTTAGAGATGGAGTCTTGCTCTGTCTCCCAGGCTGGAGTGCAGTGGCACGATCTTGGTTCACTGCAGCCTCCACCTCTGGGGTTCCAGTGATTCTCCCACCTCAGCCTCCCAAGTAGCTGGGATTACAGGTGTGCACCACCACACACGGCTAAGTTTTTGTATTTTTAGTAGAGATGAGGTTTCACCCTGTTGTCCAGGCTGATCCTGAACTCCTGACCTCAAGTTATCTGCTCATCTTGGCCTCCCAAAGTGCTGGGATTACAGGCGTGGGCCACCGTGCCCAGCCTGCTCATGTTTATTTTAACTGGTGGGACAATTCTGATCACTTGTGAAAAGTATGAATTGTGAGTGAAAAACCACAATTTAAAAAAAAAGTATACTACCTATATTCTGCTAACCAGAAATCTCTGTGAACTGGCACTTCAGCACTTCTCTAGCCCGGTGATAATTGATTTTTATATCAAAAGCACTACAACATTTTCATGTTAATTAAATTTAATTATAATCCCATTATTTAAACTTGGAAAGACATTCCAAACAAGATGAACAAAGCACTATACATGGAATAAGAGTCAATTTCAGCTTGAATCTCAGTTTGACCATCCTCAGACTCTGTGGCCTTTGACAGCACAGTTTATTTCCCTGATGTGAAAATTTCTTATCCATAAAATGAAGATATCATCACTTCCTTTGCCTATCCCTAATGATTGCTTTAATGTCAAATGAAATAGTGGGCATAAAAGTATTTTGTAAACTTTGAAGGACTACGTGAATGTGCACTCGGTAATTGTAACAATCAGAATTTAACTAGAGTACCGAAGCTTAAGTTATGGTATATATACAAATGCAAAGTCACTTGGTGACATTTAAATGCTCTAAAAGCTCAAAGGTGATCACACCCTATGGAAAGTGTGGATCTTATAAGAGATTAGTGACATGTGGACTACGTTACCTTCCAGCATCTAGTCATTTATTAAAGCTTTTCAAGACTATTAGTAGTTAGCAACTAACACAGGCAGCAACCAAGTAGACAGCAAATTCCCCTGCTTCATGATCTCCTGTCACAGTAACTACTCATTTTTGAAAAATGACTACATATCAGGCCAGAAGTAAGTGCACACAAACATTATTTCATCTTAGCTCTCACAATAAACTTTTGAAATTGTACTATTATCCTGATTATATGGATGAGAAAACTGAGGCTCAAAGAAAGAAAAGAACCCCACTATCACATGGTAAGTAAATGATTATTTCAAAATTCAAACCCAGGCTAAGTCTGATTCCATTTGTATATATCTCTGTCTATAACATTTGTCTTTAATGATTTTGTTATGCTAATTACTAGATGCTTTTCTCCTTGCCAGTTCTTTTCTGAAGGATAATGCCTCAAAAGACAGATAACCTAAGACAAAAAGAAGCAAGATACTGGAACAGGTACTTCACAAAAGAAGATAGCTAAATGGGCAGGTGTGGTGACTCATTCCTATAATCCCAGCACTTTGGGAAGCTGAGGTGGGCGGATCACAAGTTCAGGAGTTCAAGACCAGCCTGGCCAATATGGCGAAACCCCGTCTCTACTAAAAATACAAAAATTAGCTGGGCGTGTTGATGGGCACTTGTAGTCCCAGCTACTCAGGAGGCTGAGGCAGGAGAATTGCTTGAACTCGGGAGGTGGAGGTTGCAGTGAGCAGAGATTGCGCCACTACACTTCAGCCTGGCGACAGAGTGAGACTCCATCTCACACACACAAAAAAAGAAGATAGCCAAATGATCAATAAACATATGAAAACACGCTTGACTTCATTAGTTATCAGGGAAATGCACAGCAAAGCCATAATGGGATACTCTGACATACCAGACAGGCTAAAATGCAAATGACAATACTAGGTGTAGGGGGGAGGCACGCAGGTGGGAGTGAACATTGATCCTATGTTTCAGATCAACTGAGAGTATCAACTGCGTTTCAGAAAGCTGCTGACCAGCATCTACTTAAGAACAATGTATTTATACTGTACCCTATGACTTGGCAATTTCATTCCTTGATTCGCATCCAAAAGAAATGCATACATAAACATTCACAATATGGCATGTCCCAACTGTTTATAACAGCACTATTTATGATAGCCCCAAACTGGAGACTACCCAAATGCCCATCAACAGTAGCATGGATCACTAAGTCGTCATAGAGCCACACAATGGAATACTGTATAGCCATGAGCACGAGAAACTGCAGGTTCAACTATGTGCAGCCACGTGGCTTAACATCATGATACATATGATACAATAGTGAGCAACACAAGCTGGATGAGAGGAGAGTACATGCTGTTTGAGTTCGTTGGAATAAAATTCAGAAACAGGAAAAACCAATCCACCATGTTAGCAGTCTGTTTAGTGGGTACCCTGGGGGAGGTGGGAGACAGCTGGAACCGGAAGGGAGGAGAAGGTCACTCACAATGCTTGGTTTCTCGATTTGAGCGTTGGTTGCACAGGCGTGTTCACTTTGAGAACATTCTTCAAGCTCAACACTTACAATTTCTGCACCTACTTTTCTGCATGTATGTTATACTTCAGTAATAATACATTTTAAAATTACTAAAAGGATATAATTGGATTGTTTGTAACACAAAGGATAAACGCTTGACGGGATGGATACGCATTTTTCCATGATGGGATTATTACGTGTTGCATACCTGTATCCAAACATCTTATGTACCCCATAAATATATACACCTATTATGTACCCACAAAAATTAAAACATTTTTTCAAAAAGCTTACCAAAAAGAGTTAGTATCTCTGCTCTCCAAAGCCTGCAAATGTCAATACTTCGGAAGTGTTTCACAGAAATGCACACAGAGCTTACCATGTTTATATATCCTTTTAAATTTAAGAGTATTTATTCAGCTCACAGATTTTCATGTCCTTAAAGAAATAGCAAGACAGTTTAGGTAAACACAGGAATTACTTCTGAGCTGTGAGGCTGAGTTCTAAAAGAATGATGGTTAGGAGTAAACAAAAGAATGAAGACTAGATATTGAACATCAATAATAATGTCAAGAATAAAAGCCTTATGCATTGAGTTTTAAAGAGCAAGACAGGGCTACAGCCTACAGCCTACTTCTGCAAGCCCAGTGCTCAGAGAAGTTTTGAACCTGAAGGTAACGTTGAACAAGTGAGGGGAGGGAACCTAATAAAAGCAACAGCTTAGAAAGGTAAAAACCTAGAAATAAAGAACTATGGCATATGCATATAACTTTCTTTGAAACCCACATAACTTTCATATTCTTTCTGAGAGACAATGTTTGAGTAGGAGGAATTCTTAAGAAAGCTGTCATACTAAAAAGAAAAAGTATAAGAACTAGTGAAAGATTAAGATACACACACAGATGCAAATTTGTCAATTGATTTATATTGTATCTAAAATATATTCTCTATATAATTAGATCTAACAGATACATGCATACATGTATGTATATACATATTGGCATTTAGTTCCAGTATTATCAGAATTGTGATTCCCTGAAATTGACAACAGATTTGAGAAAGGACACCAGGATAGCCCAACCAGTGTGGTGAGGTCCTAACCACTAGCACCCCATAGGGTTCTGGCTACCCTTTGTATTCCATGAGCAGCCTCTAGACTCATCTGCTTTGCAGACAAATCTAAAGTCTCCATCACAGATAGATGCACAGTGGGTTCTTTTCCTCCAAGGAAAAAAATAGGTTTCAGATTTAACCTATCTTCCACTCCGGGTTGGCCATCTGTAAAGAAAACTGCAATCCATAAAGTGTCAAAGAAGAGAGGTTAGAACAGCAGCACGTGGGTTAGAGGTAAGGCTTCCCAAGAGAGAAACGCTCTAAAGTACAGGAAAATGTATTTCTAGTGACCAAGGTTATGCATGTCTTTTACCTTTAAAATACATTCGTGCTCTACATATTGTGGTACTTTATTCAAAATACAGGGTAAAAATATTTGAGAATGAGCAGATGAACCAAGTCTCTGTATCTTTCAATCAAGACTTCAAAAATCCAGATTATGCTGTCTCTTCTTTCTATTTATTTACACGTTCGATGTAAGAAGAAGAACTAAAATAAGTAGGGTAAAAATTTGTTGCTTTGTTGGAGGCCTTATTTGAGAATTTTTGTATTCAATAGGCACACATAACCATGGATTTCTTCTAATTCATTGTACGAGAATAAACAGAAACACAGAAAGCTAAGAAATTCTCACTCTTCATTATTCTCGTAACTATGGATTTTTAAATTAAAATTTTTTTTGTTTTTAACTTACGGTTTTCTTTAGGCAGCTAATCTTATACTCTAAAAAGTTTGTAACACTTATTCCCAAATCTTATTTAAAAAGCAATTAATTTTTTGATTGGATGAAAACCATCTATCCCTGCAGATGTCGTCTTTAGAAATCTTGGCTGGCTACCTCACTACTCCATTGATTTCTGATATGTCAACTGTTGCATTCAAAAGACAAATGGCACCAAATATGTAACAATTACAAAAACCTTTAAATGAAAGGGGTTTTTCAGGCTTTTACTTATTTAATCGAATTGATCACTCTCTTTAAGATTCGACAGTATAGTTATCTCTTCCCTGCCCTCCCACCCCGCCCCCTCACCGTTTCCAACTTTATTATTGAGATCATATCAGATTTTGACCTTGTTTGTCCTATAAGTCTCACATATATCTCTTTCTGTGGCCAATTTTCCAAGGTCACAGGTTTCTTTACCTTCAACACTTTAAGTATTGATTAGCTTGCTTTGTCAATTTTCTATTTGTTTTGCAGTCAGGAATGTCAAACCAGTGTTAAGCAATTCAGCACTGCAGTTTGCCCAGCCTGCATAAACCTCCTGTTCCCTTTTGCATCCCTCCCTGAAAATAGAGTAGCTGCACGCAAAAGGAGTATGAAAATCAAGCCAGCGCTTGCTCGGAGCTGGTCGGCTAGTGTACGGCACAGCATATTTCAATTAGCATCCAATCAAGTTAAGTAGTGATACTTCAATATTTGTGTGAGCCTGCCTTGTAGAATTTAATACTCAGACAGCCATTTTGCAAAACACAGCAGGGCCATGAAATAAGGGCTATTTCAGTGAAAGAGTCACAGGATGATAAAGCTGTTGCAACAGCTGTGTCATCCATCCAGTGATTATTATCTACTATTTTTCTGAAGCTGCTCAAAATAGGATTTAGTGTTAGCCTCTGTGCCTATCTATAATTTGTCAAACTCCGTGGTATTTCTGCCCCCCACCATCCCATCATTCAAATATGAAAACAGGACTACTGTAGGTAAAAGAGAGTATCAACTGGTTTGAATGAGACAGATCTCTGAGACAATGGACTTCTCAAACCAATCCCTGTGCAAGTTATTTCCAACCTTATCAAAGTCACAAGGCACAAAAGATAGATAAAAACATCTCTGGGAAAAAATAAATATGTCAGAATCTCCTATACCTCAGATTCCTTGAAAACTCATGGTACGAGATGATCGACTGTCTGGTTGGTTCAGCACAGGGAATAAAAACAGCTGAAAGAGGCAACATGCACCAGACAGACACGAACAGTATTTTCAGCTCCCAGCTGCAATTCTACAGCAATAGAAACTTACATAGGACACCCGTACTCGCCGGCGATGCACCAGCCCGCAGCACTGCATGAAGAGGGGGCAGAACGCAGTCAGCGTGTGGCTTCACCAAGCTGCACTGTGCCTTGTCTTCTCGTCACAGCCTCGGTCCATTTCTTCCCACCTTCTACTCCCAGGTAAGAGGCATGAGCAAATCGCTTAGCTTCTGCCTCCTAGGTAGTTTCTAAAAAAGCCACCGTTCCTGCAGGCATGCCAAAACTTTGTTCTCCCCTGTTTTGTCTTTTTTTTGGGGGTGGGGGGCGTAATTTGAGATCTTCTTCAAGGGGGTTTCCTATTTGCAAAAATCTACAAGAAGTAGCATTAATTTTCCAGAAGTAAGTATTGCTAACACAGAGTTAGGACTGTCCAGATCATCAGAGTTTCTTGGTGACGCTTTTACAGTAGCCATTCTCAACTCGGGAGATTTTCAAACATCTGAGAATCTTGCATTTCACGACCCTGCAGTATTCTGCTTTTAAAAAGGAGGAGGCCTACTCCTGCTGCTGTTTATGTGACTGCTTCTTAGCACGCTGCTGCTCCTGCTTCCGCGGCTGCTCAGCTATGATTGCCTTCTTCACAATGCACAGGCTGACAGCAGCATCCTGGATTCACTGTTACCTCTGTAACGTTTTGGGCATATCTGATTTGCTACTTCTCCCTCCTCCCCTGACCCTGAAAAATGACTGAGTCTAGACTCGAATTCACTGTGGATTCCTAGGACTACAGAAACATCCTCCAAACCATCAGATGCTTTGTCCTGCAGTAGGTATTTCACATGAATTGTAAGGAGGATAGCCAGAGTGGCCTCAGGACCTGACTCGCTCAAGCACTGCGGCGCACGGCTGTTTGGTGCTCACTGACAAATATTCATTTTCTGGGTTAAAGCATGTTAAATAAACGTAACTCTGGAAGGCGAATTTGATCCGACTCAGACCTCATTAATTCATTAGATCACATACCACCTATGATTTAGATATAATAAACTACATAAGGCTGCCTTCCAAGTGTGAGAGCTCCCAAGTCAATATTCTTTGTAAGCTATTATTTAGCTCTTTCCCTAAAGACCCAGTTTTCAGGGGCTGAGTTGATCCTAATATTCTCCCTAAAGACCTTGTGCATGTCACATATAAAAAGATGAATCATTAAGACATGTGGAGATTCAGCTGTTCATTTGTATGATATCAGCCATTCTAATATGCAATGATTCATAAAACACTTTAGTGTGTCATAGATATTGATCCAAATTTGCCCCCATGCCCAAGTCATTCCATATTCTGCTGAGACCTAAGAAGGTATGTTAATGATTTCATGTCACAGATTAACCACCACTACGTTCTTTAGGTTCCTGGAAAAATAAAAGACAATTAATTCTCAACAATTTACCAGTATTTTCTCAAGGCTGTTTTGAGATAGGGTCTCACTCTACTGCCCAAGCCGAAGTGCAGTGGTACAATCATGGCTCGCTGCAGCCTTGAACTCTTGATTGCCTTGCTCAGGCAATCCTCCCACCTCAGACTCCCAAGTAGCTAGGGTTGTAGGTGCATGCCACCAAACTGGTTAGATTTTTGTTTTTTGTTTTGTTTTGTTTTGTTTTGTTTTTTGGAGACAGAGTCTCACTCTGTCACCCAGACTGGAGTGCAGTAGCACAACCTCAGCTCACTGCAACCTCCACCTCCAGGGTTCAAGCAATTCTCGTGCCTCAGCCTCCTGAGTAGCTGGGACTGTAGGTGTGCACCACCATGCCTGGCTACTTTTTGTCTTTTTTTTTTTTTTTTTTTGGTACAGATGGAGTTTCACCATGTTGGCCAGTTGGCCAGGCTGGTCTTGAACTCTTAGACTCAAGTGATCTGCCCATCTTGGCCTCCCAAAGTGTTGAGATTACAGGTGTAAGCCATAGTGCCCAGCCTAATTTTTAAAAATTTTTTATAGAGACAGGGGTCTCACTTTGTTGCCCAGACTGGTCTCAAACTCCTGGCTTCAGACCATTCTCCTGCTCCAGCCTCCTGAAGTGCTAGGATTACAAGTGTGAGACACCATGCCTGGCCTTAAAATCTATGATTTAAAGCAACAGTTTTATATTGTTATTAATAGTCTAAGAGGTTGATAGAGCTGAAAAAAAATTCTGCCTTAATCTCCTTATTTAACTGATAAACCAGGTCCCAAAATGATTCCATGTTCTGTTTATCAGTAATATAAGCAATAGCATAATTTAAACCCTGTAACTTATACAATCTACATAGTCTGTGAAAATTCTATGGTCTTATCATATACCAGTCAATCCTTTGTGGATTTGAAGGTCCAAAAGGAAAATAACAGATAGTCTATAGATAGACAATAAGGACACTTTAGTGATTAAATCAGAAACCTAGAGTAAAACAAAATTTCTGAATTACACTGCAAATTGGCTCTTGAAGTAAATCCTGGGAAAAAAAATCCCTCACCATTTTCTGAACCATACATGATATATTTCTAGTAGGTAGGATTTCAATTTGATTTTTTAAAGAAACTTTAGTGAGAAGAACACTAAGTAATATAAAAGAACACATAATTCAAATTCAAGTTTTTTCTTTTTTTTTCCTTTCTTTTTTTTTTGTTTTTGACACAGAGTTTCGCTCTTGTCGCCCAGGCTGGAGTGCAGTGGCGGGATCTCGGCTCACTGCAACCTCCGCTTCCCAGGTTCAAGTGATTCTCCTGCCACAGGCTCCCGAGTAGCTGGGATTACAGGTGCCCACTACCAGCCTGGCTAATTTTTTATATTTTTAGTAGAGATGGGGTTTCACCACGGTAGGCAGGCTGGTCTCGAACTCCAGACCTTGTGATCTGCCCGCCTCAGCCTCCCAAAGTGCTGGGATTACAGGAGTGAGCCACCATGCCTCAAGTTTTTTCTTAAGACCCCTTCATCACCTCCATCACCACACTTTTACTAGAATAACTGAATAAAGAATAAAAATTCAGCTTAAAGTTAGAATACGATGAAAACACTGGGGAAATGATCTATCCCTTCTATGATTCTGAATTTGATTTGGAATTCACTTAACTTTTTATTAACTATGATATTTTTATATACAATATAAGAGAGATTCCCCCGTTCATTAGAGATTCCACCCACCTTGTCATTCAAGAATCCACAAAAGGATTCCAAGCACTAACTAATTTGATTCGGCAAACATTTATAGAGCACCTTCTGTTTGCTCAGTGCTGTGCTAAGGTGCTGGGGATATGAAATGAATAAAATACAATCTATGTATTCCTCTAGGCACTTATAACAACTGAGGAGGCTGGGTGCGGTGGCTCACGCCTATAATCCCAGCACTTTGGGAGGCCCAGGTGGGCAGATCACCTGAGGTCAGAAGTTTGAGACCAGCCTGACCAACATGACGAAACCTCGTCTCTACTAAAAATACAAAAATCTGCTGGGCATGGTGGTGCATGCCTGTAATCCCAGCTACTCAGGAGGCTGAGGAAGGAGAATCACTTGAACCTGAGAGGCAAAGGTTGCAGTGAGCCGAGATCACGCCACTGCACTCCAGCCTGGGTGACAGAGGGAGACTCTGTCTCAAAAAAAACAGAGGAAAGAGAACACAGTATTTAAGAGCAAAGGGAACACCAAGGAAACAACTCCTAACCATCCCTGGAAGGAACAACAGAGACTTCACAAAGATGAGGACACGGGCTAGCCTTGCAGAATGGATAGAATTGCGTTCAGTGGAAAGTGGGCAGAGAAAGAATCCCAGGCAATGGGCAGAAAATGCAAAAACACAGAAAATTACGTACAGACTATACACAGAACAAATTGCGTTTCTATAGTGTATATGAAGAAGGGTATCTTCAGACAACAGGGATCTACCCCAAGTCCTCATTCCAAACTCAGTTCTACCCCAGATTCAGTCTTTACCTATCTCTATATCCCTAGCACTTAGTACAGTGACTGAAACATAGTAGGTATCACAAAGATTCATAGTTGTCCCCTCCTGACCCATTCTTTACTTCATTTACAGTAATAGAAATAGACATTGGCTGCTGGGCTAAGACTAATGTCCCAGCTTCTCTTGCAACATGGATGGCCACAGGACTAGATTCTGGTCAATGGGCAGATGCAGAAATGGCATGTGCCAATACCCAAGTCATGTGTCATTGCTGAGAGCTGGGACAGCCATTTATAATGAGAAGAAAGCTGCACATTCAGGAGAATAGAGCGACAAGACAGAGCCAAATCCCTAGGACAGGGGAGCTGCAATATTGGCCCAATAGTGCTTACATTTGGACTGCACCAAGAAAGAGACATAACTCCTATATTGGCACTTTTGCTCTCATTTCAATTATAGATCCTAAACTGGTACTATTATTGCTATTATGATTATTAATTTTTGAGACAGGGTCTCTGTCACCCAGGCTGGAGCGCATTGGTGCAATCTTAGCTCACTGTAGCCTCAACCTCCTAAGCTCACGGTGATCCTCCCACCTCAGCCTCCCAAGTAGTAGTTGGGACTACAGACGTGTGCCAACATGCCCAGCTAATTTTTGTATTTTTTGTAGAAATGGGGTTTTGCCATGTTGCCCAGGCTGGTCTTGAATTCCTGAGCTCATGCAATCCACCCACCTTGGCCTCTCAAAGTGCTGGGATTAGAGGCCTGAGCCACCACACCTGGCCTAAACATGTATTTTAAAAGCACCTCAAAGTGCTTCTGGAATGAATGATGAATTCACAGATCCAAGCCTGTGGAGGAGGAGGGGGAGTGGAAGAGGGGAATAAGAAAAGGCAAGAGTGGAGAGGAAAATCAGGATCTCAGGCTAGGACTACCTGGGTCCCATCAAAAGAGTTTAGATGCAGAAAAGAGTTTAGAATTGAACTGGTAGTACATACAGAATTATTGAAACTTTTAAATGTGAAAATATCTGTAGTTTTATTAGGAAGTAGAAAAAAAATTTCAGACTGTTGAGTCTGAAAATAACCTGGTCAATAGTTCGGCAAGAAATCGAAAGGTTTTGAGCTTGTATACTTGTCTGTGATAACTGTTCATTTACTAAATAATCAAATAAAGTCAATAAAAACTAGTTGCTTGGCTCATGTAGCTAAATTACAAACCTAATGAACTGCTAAATTAGCTGTTTTGTTATAATATGAGATATCTTAAAAGCAAAATATTGAAAAGTGATACAAAGAGGCTCAATGACTAAAGTCAACAAATTAAAAATAATCAAAGATAAATGTAGATAATATTGATGGCAGATACATATTTTTTAATCCAAAGGATTTATTCCTGGAGAGTCATTTGAAAGTATGAGGATTACTGTTTCTTTACTATTCACTGTCCACGTTACTATTAGTTAGGAGTGGCAAGAACACAGTCAAAGTTAAACATCAGATGAAGTGCTTCCTCCAAGAAGAGAACTCTTTGATAATAGGAAATGAAAGACCTAAAGAAGCCTTCTGTGGCAGAACTGAAGGTTTTGTGTCAGAGTTGACTCTGCTGAAGTGTTTCTGGCTTTTCTGTGGCTGTGATTTCAGGAAAGAAGGGTCCCTCCTCCGACAGACACGTGCTCATATCCTCATTAGACTCTCCCTTCATAGTACGTCTGCAACCATGAAGAGCCTAGTGTCCTTAAGTTGACCGAAAACTCTTTTGCTAATTTCAGTAAAAACAGAAAAAAGGACCAACTGTCTCTATTCATCCATCCGGCCAACAATATCAACTGAGGGCTGCTCACCAAGCGCGTGTCTTTGCTGGGCACCAGTAGGATGACGACAAGTAAAACAACTAAGGTCCTTGCCTTCAAGGAGCTTAAAATCCAGGGGGCAAGGCAATTTGAATCCAATAATCATATAAGCATATAATTATAAGCTAATAAGATATTTGCATGAAAGTACAGAATACTATGAAAATGTAGAGCAGGTTGACATCTTCGAGAATTAGAAGGGTCAGAAAGGTGTCTCTGGGGCACTGCTACCTGAGCTGAGGTTGAAGGGTGCGAAGGAGTTAACTAAATGCAGGGGAGATAAGGCAGGAAGAGGGAAGGTATTATTTACAAAGGTCCTTGTGGTAGAAAGGAGAAGGCTGAGTTTAAGCAGTTGGAGAATAAAGCGAGAGAAAGAGAAGATGAGGTTAGGGAGGCAGGTGATACCAGGCAAGAACATGAGGACCATACTGGGGATCTTTTCTCTTTCTACAAAGAGCAGTGGGATTTCTTTCCCTCAAAAGGCGTGATCAGATTTGTACCATTTAAAATCCACTTTGGCAGTAGAGTTGAAGACAGATTGGAAGACAGCTAGAGAGAAGCCAGGGAGGCCAACTAGGAAGTAATTTTATCCAAGCAAAAGATGATGGTCTCGTGCTAAGGAGCTGAAGACAGGAGGTAAGGAAAATGAACGAA